CTGCATTTTCAGCACTTGAAGGACTAAAGGAAATAAAGAACAGCATTTTGCAAATAGAAACTTAAAAGCTAGAAAATTTTGGTTTAAGTCAGAGGCCAGATGGCAACACATTTGGCAGAATATGTTTACTGTCCCTGCTATTTCTTTGTGTAGGTGATTGCTCCTTACCTGCTACAACCCCTGAGACTACTGTAGCAATAAGTGGCGTTTTAGTCTTTTCGTTGATTCTGGCCAACACTCTAAACAGCAGTCCGTCCTCTGCCATAGCATAAATTACTCGCGGCATTGGAAATATGGAACCCAGAAGACTAACAGAAAGAAGTCCATCCCATGTTAGTATTAGGTAATCAAAGCCACAAACAGTTAATTGTAACAACAAAGCCACAAAATAGCCAAAATCTTATTAAAACTGCTTACTGCCTTTATAATGTGAATACTTTTTTTTTAAATCATTTCAATATTGTCAAACATGCTGAGAAATATCATTGCTAGTCAAAATCACAGAAAAATGTGGCCTTTGTCTCTTGAAAAGGTAATAGAGATGCAAAATTGTTTGCAAATTGTAAAACTGTTACATTTAAACAAGCACAATCCTTTCTTTAAGTAAAACATAATGTTTAGAGACTAGATGCAACATTCTTTTGCTTGCACTTAAAATATTCTGTGTGCATCTCTGGTAATATAAAGAGGATGATCTGTGCATGGGAATGTTTGGGCTGCTGCATAACTGTGCAAATTAGAAGAAACGGTGAAATGTTGAAGATTCCTTTTACCATCAGCAACCGTTCACAAGCCAAATACAGTAATCTGGAATCTGAATTAAACTTGTTGGCAATCTCCAATTCAGTCCACAGAATTTGAGGAAGGTGTCCCAATTTGATATAGTTGGTGGATCCCATCAAACCTACAGGGCACTTCAGGTGACCACAGGCTCATTAACCCACTGATTAGTTCATACTTGCAGTTTTTCAGATATGACATTTGGGCTGGAGGAGTTCTTAATTTGTTCGATTTTCAGTTCGAACATTATGCAAGTTCCTGTCTGTGCCCATCACATGGTTTTTGCACACTTTAAAAATTTCTCATGCATCTCCAAAGATGGGGTTTCTGTGTTTTATTTCAGAGAGCCACCAAATGTTGCTCAGTCATAGTACTATCAATGTGCAGGGCTTCAAATATAGAGCCATATTAGCATGGCCAACTCTTCCATGCCAACCAAGTTTCCCCTGACTCAACTAATCCCACTTGGCCCATATCTAAACCATTCCTATTCATGTACCTGTCAAAATTTCTTTTAAATGTTGTAAGTGTACCTACATCCACCACTTCTACTGGCAGTTCACTCCACATACCCTTTGTGAAAAAGATGCCCCTCAGATTCCTTTTAAATCTTTCTCCTCTCACCTTAAAAATATGTCCCCTAGTTTTGAACTCCCCAACCCTGGGGAAAAGATCATTGCTTCTGACCTTATCTATGCTGCTCATAAATTTTATAAACCTCTATGAAGGTCACCCATCAACCTCCTACAATCCAGTGAAAAAAGTCCCACCCTTTCCAGCCTCTTGTATAACATAGACCTTCCATACCTGGCAATAATTTTTTCTGAACCCTCTCCAATTTAGTAATATCCTTCCTATAGTAGGCAACCATAACAATTCACAATTCTCCAAAAGTGGCTTCACCAACATCCTGTACAATCGCAACATGGTGCCCGACTCCAATACTCAACGGTCTGTACAATGAAGGCAAACATACTCAATACCTTCTTAACCATTCTGTCTATGACATAGCTTTCAAAGAATTATGTACCTGAACCCCCGAGGTCTCTCTTTTCAACAACACTACCCATGGTTCTACCATTAACTGTTCAATTCCTGCCCTTGTTTGGAACTTGAGCATACATATACCGAGTAGGGTAAATAGTGAAGGAATCCAGTCCTTGTCGATATAGCAGAGCCGCATTTAAGTTCTGTATGACAAAAGAAGATCTGCAATAGCGAAATATGTTTTTGTTCCTCGCACCTTCCAAGTCTAACTCTACATTTTCTTTTAAGTCAGTAACAGCTGATCCACTAAACAATTGAACAACTGGAAATGTGAAGGGCTCAATTTCATTGCTCAGATAACAATTTAGCAAATGACTGCAAATACTTTTCATTGAATCTTTCCTATGCAGTTTGAAAAGTAACTATTTAAAGATTAAATGGTGTACACAATAGCACAGCTCTGGCAGTTGGAGGCATACAAGTGGTGTGAAGTTATGCACCATAATATATTAGTGCAAATTCAGCTCATTCAAATAAAAAATGATTCCCTCAACAGGCAGTGCCTCAAACAGATAATGTTGCAGTCTGAGCAAGGTTAAATAGCACAAGTAAACCTTCAAACATTGCTGCTCATCCCTAAATAGGGAATTACCACAAAATGTAAAAGATGGCAGAAGCAAAGCAGAGAGGCAGGAGAATGGTGTACAGGGTTATGACTGAAAACTGTGCTGTGGCAAAGAATTGATCTTTTGGGAGGAAAAGGGCAACTTCTAATAAAGACTACAGTGCAAATCCAATATTAAATAGATCAATTAACTTATAGCATTGAGGTCTCCTGGCCCCTCTCAAAAACAAAACAGCATTGGGTCAGTGAACAGGCACCTATTTCGATATGACAGTTTGGTTAGTTGAGCAAGAATGGAGCAACAACAGTTGTAAAATCAAGTACTGCATTTCTCGGCATCCTGCTTTCAACCTAACCCCTCCGACTGCTGTTTTGCCCAGGACAGTTATATTTATAATGACAGTCAAGATACTTGTATAAACACTGTACAATATCGATGATGTGTACACAGCCCTTTACAGCTCATTCTCATGGACAGTATTATTCTTTACATCCACAATTAACTAAGAGGGCAGATTTTGGGAATATGTGCTCATTGATGAAGTTATTCATGTCTCTACTTGCAACAGTAAATGCTTTAAGTACATAAATTCTTGTGACACATCAATCTGATGAATTCTGTGGCAATATTATGCATTCACCTGACAAGAGGTAAAGCCAATTCAGTTGTTATTTGATTATCCGAGAAGTTCAGCTCGAACACAGTCATGATGTGGTTCTATCAGTTCCTAGCGACCATGCTATATCAGTCTTCCACTGCACTATTAGGGTGGTACAGTTAAGGATAAGGGGAAACATTCACATTTTGCTCAGCAATGGTCCACAGCCAAAAACAGATGAGCAAGAAATTTGCAAAGCGATGCACAAAATTGTCGAGATGCTGTTATTACGTATAACGTAGCAGCATTATCTTGGTAGGCACTTTAATAGATTTTAGATGTATCCCTGAGAGTGTCTAGCTCTCCAGCAACAAATGGCCTGTTCACAGAAAGATCTTTGGAGCAAATGGCCAGCAAAAATGCCATTGCTGGAGTTGGCGTGAATGATTGAGGTGTGTCTCGGGGTGATATTATAGCTGTAATAGCCAGGCATCTCATTCAAATCAATCCAGGGACATTACTATCCCAGCCATCCTGTGGCCTAGGACTGTACCTGGGGGTGGGGGTGGGGGTGGGGGTGGGGGTGGGGAGGAGGGAGGAGGACACAGACACAGACAGAGACGGACAGAGCGAGAGACACAGACAGAGACGGA